TTTGTTAGGCCATTCCTTGTAATTGATTTCAGCTATGTACATGGATGAGCTTAGACTGAAATGCTAGATATATGTATTGACTTCAGTGTATGATCCCTCATTGTCAAGCTATGAAATTAAAATCCTGTATATAACTGGTAATCAGAAGGAGAAAAAAATTTGTAGGAAAGTGTGTGATGGTCTGTATAGTTATTTGTACTAAGTGAGACTCATTGTGATGTCTCTGCGTCTATTCTATTGCCTCAACTTGAAAATGGATGGCATAATATAATTTAGCCTGTGGCATCAGTGATAGAAATGATACCTTTCTAAAGGGGTTTATCATAATGTGCTGCTTCTTGAGGGCTTACACCTCTAGAACTGCATTCCCTTCTGTTGTGCCATCTTTTTTTTTTTAGTATACATATATAAAAATATATATATGTATGTATATGTGACCAGTCCTGGTTACTCCCAACTCCCCCACTCCCCTTCTCTTTGGACCATGAAAAGCCCCCAAGTAGTGACTTCTGGAGCTGGGTAACTTACAAAGTGAAACAACCTTTACATGGAGAAGTAATTTGCATGTGTGGTATAGAAAGGTGTTATTAGGTATTACAGTTTTACTTTAAACCATTTAACTTATGCTCCAAAGTAACTGTAATTTGATGTTGGTAGGATAGCAGATCATGATGAATAGCTTTAATTGTATGTTATAAGGTCATATGTTCACATGCTTAAATCTGGATTAACAAAATTTAAGCAATTCTTGAAATATATGAATGTCTCCTTAATATACTGATTACAAAGCAAAAAAAAAAAAAAAACACGCAAAAAAAAGAAAAATAACCTGAGTTTTTTTTTTTTAAGAGTTGTTTACCACAAATATATGTTTATATGTTAAATGTGTGTGTTTTATGTATAACATTTAAAACTTCTCTTTAAAATAGGAACAAAAGGTCCAGTTACATCTTCTGGCCAAAGAAGATTATCATAAGCAACTGAATGAAATTGAGAAATACTATGCTACAGTAACAGGTCAATTTGGAGTGGTAAAAGAAAATCATGAAAAGTTAGAACAAAATGGTAGGTGCTATCTAATTTAAACTTACATGTTCAGTAGGGAATGTTTAAATAGACTTATGCATAAATTGAACTTGTCTGATACTGGTAATAGTAAATGAAAATTTAATAAATGTTATTTAAATTGAATAATAATTATATAAATTGCAGTGGAATTATTTTCCCTATCCATGGTGGTGATATCTTCTTTGATGTATTCACTGAACATAATATTTTCTTAAGTGCCTTTCATATTTGCAGTACAGGAAGCAATACAACTAAACAAAAGACTTTCAGCTTTGAATAAGAAACAAGAATCTGAAATAAGCAGTTTAAAGAAGGTATGATTAATACAGTTTTATAATATTAAGTAAAAGTTATAGTTTTAAATAATTAGTCTTACAGAATATTACTGGAAAACAGTTGGATAGTTTTATTTATTTATTTATTTTTGGTAAAAGGACAAATACTTTTTTTAGAATTATTTAATTTTACTTATTTATTATTATTCAGTTTGGCTAGAGAGTGACAGAGAGAGAGGAGAGACTGACAAAGCAAGCTGGCAGGTCCAGGACTCAAACTGCAGTCAGCCACGTGGAGTCCAGTGCCTTAACCACCACGCCATCTGCCAGCCCCACAAATAAAATGTTTTAAATACAGATTATGATTCCAGTAAATGCAGTGAGTGAATTTGTTCTAGTCTATTCTTGGACGTGTGACAGTGGCTTTATGGTGACATAATAGCAGCACTTACTGGATGTGAGCCTCATTAGTACCACTCATTCACTCATTCATTCAGGGTGTGGTGAGTGGCTCTTCTGTGCCAGGTACTATGTGGCACTAAGGCTACAGCTGTGAAGGAAATGGAGTATGTTCCTGCTTTTATGAAGTTTCAGCCCAGTGTGGGGGGCTGGCCATAAAACAAATGCAAATATGCTGGCCAAATCACTTAAAATGGTTGTAAGTGATCTGAAGAAAAAGTAAAGGATGCAGTGCTAGTATAATAGGAGAGTTCATTAGATTGGTGATAAGAGGACGAAGAGGGAAGAAGATGCTGTTTCAGACAAGGGGAACAGCATGGTAAAAGTCTTGAGGAGCTGGGAAAGTCTGGTATGGTTGGAGCATCCTGAATGGAGGGGATGCACTGAACACTCACAGGTTGGGTACTGAGCTCCAGTATCCCCTTTTCTCCTTCCTAAACTTACCTGGGTTTTCTATTTTGATGCCTCCATGTTTAGAGCCGAGCATTAAGTTGGAGGAACCAGAACCACGTTTCTTTCCTCTTCCTACAGTCATTTGGAAATAAACAAGTAATTGGCTTTAAACCAGGAAGAATATAATTCCCATTGTGGCTGGTAGCCATCCAATGCCAGTGAGAAAAGTGAACAAAGATGAATCTGAGAATGTGGATGCAAAACTGATGTGACATAAAGAAACCTGTTCTTTTAATGACATTGTTGAGTTCCTTGATCAACTGACCCTGCTTTGTGTACTACCTCTAGACTCTCTGGTTATATGAACCAAGAGTCCACTATTATTTAGGCCATTTTTCTGGGGGTGGGGGGAGGTTTTTGCAATGGGGTGCATGCGCTCGCCAGAAAGACAGAGACAGAGAAACAGAAAGTGAGAAATCAACCCCCGGGGGCGATGGCCATGCTGCGATCCCTTCTCCTCCATTTTCCTCTCGAGATCTTGGTCACACACGCACATGCGCCCGGTGTGTGTTTAAGTCACCCGGTCTGGGACTTGAACTGTGATCGACTACATTGGGAGTCCAGTGACATAGCCATTTGCCAATTGCTGATCCCTGTTTAGGCCATTTTACTTATGGTCATTTCAGTTTTCCATAATTTGCATATGAGAATATCCCAACTTATACAAAAGGAATGTTGGTCTGAGGAGAGAAGTAGTTACGGCCTTATGCTTTCTACAGATAATGACTTCTTATTTTCTTCCCCACTCTCTTCAAAGCCCCATCTCAAATAATGCCACTTCAAATCACCAAAAGAATTCAATACCTACCCTTACTGGCACCCAGTAAGTTTTGCAACAGCATTTACTGTTTAAATGGATGTGATTTGTAGTTATTTAATTTACCTGGTGTGTAGAATATCTTCCATTTGTCCCTCCGGATCTAGATTTATCCCTGGCAGGCTTACCTATATGGATTGGATCAGTTGGCTTCCATATCTTCTGGCTTCCTCAGGAGCTGGCCAGTGGAATCTTAGCAGGGGATAGGAGGAAGGAAACAGTGTGGATCAATGTGTTTATTTCCCCTGTTCCCACCCTGTGAAGTCATTCAGTCCAGCCCTGTCCCTCACTAGATCACCACTTCTCTCAAATTGGCCTGAGCTATGTGATCGTCTCTCTGTTTCGATGTACTCTCTTCCTGACCTCTTGGGTTTAGGGATAGTGACAGCCTGTCTCTGATAGCCCAGTGGTCCTTGAAGCTTGAACCATCCCTTGGGGGTCTTTTAGAGTCTGTCTACAGCTTTGCAAATAAACCGTCTTCAAATTATCCTAATTTATGAGTGCCATGTGTTTCCTGCTGGGGTTCTGATGATATACTTGGTTAGCTTAAATGTAACATTAGTGAGGCCAAAGTGCCGAGTTCAGTTTCTGTATCGGCCTCCTGATTTAGTACAGTGTTCTGGTTCACGGTCAAAGATTGTACCTCCAAACCTCTCCTAACCATTTTTCAAAAATGCATTTTAGACTCAAGGGATACATTAATGTGAACGATGGTATTTAGATACATCGTTAATATTGAGGGAAAAAACAACTTCTAACTTGGGTCCATGTCATCATTTTGACTCTAAAGGATTCTGCTCTTAAAAGGAAAAATCAGGGCCAGCAGGTGGCATGGGGTTAAGGTGCTGGACTCCCCTGTGGTTGACTGCAGTTCGAGTTCCAGACCTGGCAGCTTGAAAAATCACACTGGGCATATGTGCGTGCGTGCCCAAAATCCCAGGAGGAGAATGGAGGAGAAGGGATTGCAGCATGACCATTCCCCTGGGAGATGATTTCTCACTTTCCTTTTCATTGTCTCTGTCTTTCTTTGGTGAGTGTATGTGCCCTTTGAAGGAAGGAAGGAAAGAAAGAAAGATAGATTAAAAAAAAGGAAAAACCAACCAACCCAAACTTCCCAAGCATTTATATATATATTTTTTACATATATTCTGTCTTATTTTATTGAACTAATGAACTTTTTAGAGTAGTTTTTTGGTTTACAGTAAAACTGAAGGGAAAGCACAGATTTCCCATATACCTCTGTATCCGCACACACCCTCTCCCCCCATTACATCCTTATCCGCATTTAGTGTTGTCATTGCGTTGGATTTTGGTCATTCTGATTGGTGCGTAATGGCATCTTACAGTTTTGATTTGTAGTTCTCTAATGACATGATGATGAGCAATCTTTCCACATGCTTATTTCCATCTGTATATCTTCTCTGATGAGGTGGCTGTTCAGGTCTTTGGCTCATTTTTTAATCAGCTCATTTGTTTTCTTATTGTCAGATTTTATAAATTCTTGGTGTATTTGGAAAATAAGCCTTTATTAGATGAATATTTGTTTTGTGAATATTTTCTCCTAGTCTGCAGTTTGTATTTTCATTCTTTTGAATGCATTTCATTTCCAGTGAAATTACAGTTTTTTTTTTTTTTTTAAGAGCTTTTTGTTTAGGGTACGTGCTCTCTCCAGAGAGAGAGGGAGACAGAAAGTGAGAAATCACCTCCAGAGGATAGCCACACTGCAGTCTCTGCTCTATTCTACTCTTGGGATCTCAGGTGCACATGCACATGCGCCCAGCATGAATTTCAAGCCACTGGATCTGAGACTCAAAGGACAGTTGACTATATGGGAGTCCAGCAATGTGACCATTACACCGTCTGCTGGTCCATCCCATTGCATTGTTTTCGATCTCTGGCATTTCTTTTATTTTTTTCTTAGAATTTCCATCTCTTTGTTTATATTATCTATCTGTTTTGCATGTTATCTTCTTTTTCTGTGAAAGCCCTTGGCATATTAATTGTAGTTTATAAAAATTCCTGTTCTTGTAATATGGAGGTTCCTCAAAGATCTACAAATAGAACTACCATTTGATCCAGCAATCCCACTTCTGGGTATTTACCCAAAAGATAGGAGAACGCTCAGTCAGAAAAGTGCTTGCACATCAATGTTTATTGCAGCATTATTCACAGTTGCCAAGACATGGAACCAACCTAAATGTCCACAAACTGATGAATGGATTGGAAAAGTGTGGTATATATACTCTTTGGAATACTGCTCAGCCATAAAAAATAACAAGACCCTGGCATTTGATAGAAAGTGGTCAGATATGCCTCCATATCAGATATCTCCATATCCACTCTATTGCTGAGTGAAGTAAGCCAGGCTATGAAAGAAAGATATTGTATGTATCCACTCAGTATATACCGACTATCCGCACTCTATGGTAGAGAGCGAAAAATTGGAGGACATAAAAGCAGTGAAGGAACTTAACGAGAATAGGACAGTGTGGAACGGGGGAGGTGAAGAGAAGAGGATAGAGAAAGATAGCAAGTGAACAATAGAGAGGCAGGACGTTAGTGAGAAACAGATATGGCTTATTACCTGTTGATGATGACATGTATAGTATTCTCAACTGGATTGGTCTGAGAAGTACTTCATGATGGGCAAAGTCTTTTTACAAGCAAAATGAGAAATAGCGATTGACTTTTAAGAAAAATAATTAGAATAATAATTATAATGATTGGGGAAAACAGAAAAGATATTGAATGTTGAAGCAGGGAGATTAATGTCTCTGTATTGACTGACATGCATGGCATTCCCTTTTGAAAAAGCATTGTAATACACTGTAAAGTTATATGTAATCCAATGTAATATAAAGAAAATTATGATGATAATAAAAAAGATTTCCTGTTCTTGTAATTCCAACATTCCTACTATATCTGACTCTAGTTCTTTAATCTTGTTTCGTCTATTCAACTGCATCTCTTCAGCTACTGCACTGCAGACTTCACAAGTGTTTCTCCATTCTTCTTCTCCCTCTTTGGTTGGACAGATGGCTGGAGGGAGCTAGAGTTGGGTATTTTTCTTCTTGCAGGTAGATGAGGTTTTGATATAAACCCTGGCAGGTTAGGCCCTGGTGAAACGGTTTCTCCTGAGGGCAGGCCTTACTAAAAAGAATGGAATGT